TCTTCCCCACCAGGTTCTGGATTAACCCAAGACCAGGCAAGGGAGCTGCCACAACCCTGAAGGAGATGAGACACAAGTGTTACAGTGTGAGACACTTCTCATTTTCCCAAAGAAGATTCTCTCCCAGCACACATCCTAAGGACCAGAAGCAGATGTTCAAAGAGTCCTTGCTGACTTGGGGCTGCTGTTATCCCTACAAACACAGTGTTGATTTACACCTGGTGAAAGCTGATTCACAAGGTGCTTTACCAGCAAGGTAAGCAGAGCTGTACCCATCTCAGAGCAGGAAAACAAGCTGAAAACAGAAGGCTTTCATCTGCCATCACCAGTGGCCCAGGACATCCAAGCCCAAGACCACTGAGCCATCCTGCCTTCCCCCACTCTCCAGCCAAGGGTTGAGGTATCATCCCCATGGCAGTCCCAGCCCCATGGCAGTCCCAGCCCCACAGCAGTCCCAGCCCCATGGCAGTCCCAGCCCCACTGGCAGTACCAGCCCCACAGCAGTCCCAGCCCCATGGCAGTCCCAGCCCCACAGCAGTCCCAGCCCCACGGCAGTCCTAGCCCCATGGCAGTACCAGCCCTGGCTTTGGCAGAGCCAGGTCAGACAGTGCAGCCATCCCAGCTCTCTGTGGTGCCCAGCCTGCACTTCTCAGCCCTGTTCATGATGAAAAATGCACCCAGCACCGGAGTGTTTGCCTAAAGTTTGGCTTTCTTGCTACTACATCATTCCAGGTAGACTTTTGAGACTACAATTTGCTTAAAAACAAACAAATCTGACTGTACACAGTATGACACTGAGTGACGAAATGGCCAAGACAGAGACCAAAGAATTATGGGGTGGTTTGGGTTGGAAGTGAACTGTAAAGCTCATCCAGTGCCATCCCCTGCCATGGGCAGGGACAGCTTCCACCATCCCAGGCTGCTCCAAGCCCCATCCAACCTGGCCTGGAACACCTCTAGGGATGGGGCAGCCACAGCTGCTCTGGGAAACCTGTGCCAGGGCATCCCCACCCTCACTATAAAAAACTTCTTTATATATAATCTAAATCCACACATTTTTACTTTAAAGCCTTCACCCCTTGTCCTGTTACTATAGGCCTTACTAAAAAATCTGCCCTCACCTTTCTTCTAAGCCTCCTTTATTGAAAGATTGCAATAATTTCTCCCTGGAAAATCACATTAGAAAACTGTTTTGCTGTTGTCCTTCATCCAGTATTCTGGATTTTACACATCCCTCATCCAATGAAATTCCCCTGCTTCTTCTCCCACCCCAACTATTAGCAATTCCTTCCTGCTGCACCCCTCTAAGCAGCATCAAAATCCTTTGATGCAATTAATATCCACAGCAAGGGATTATGGAAAAAAAATCCCATTTGCAGCCAGAGGAAGAGAGATTTCTGGGTTACTGTAATATTCTGGGGCCAGCCATGCCTCTGCAAAACATGCTTGTCAATCTTTAATTCGAACTCCAGCAAAACTGGAGTTATTAATGTCCCTGTCAGAGATGTTTTCTGTCACCCTGTGGAGGTATCTGACAGAATCCATCTTGCCTGGTGTGGAAGGACATCCTTCATCACCATCCCAAGCCACTGCTCTGCTTCTGCCAGCTCTCTGCTCAGCCTCAGCAGCCTGACCTTTGCAAATCCTCGGGGCTAGAATCATGGTGATCCTTTAAATTGGTAATTTGTTCTTACCTGGATAATCATACTTTGTATTTCTAAGGCCTCTTTAATCCAAAGATGTAGCTGTGAATTAAATTGGTGGAGGAAAGTAATTAATTATGTCCAGGTAGTCTCATTATTCAACTGAATTATGTGAAATATGGGAAATTAAGGCTATTATTTTAAGCTACATGGGAGGTCAAGGAGAAAAATCCAGCTGTTCTGAGTTGCATCTTCTCACCTGTCGTATGGAAAGCAGCATCAGAGCAGGATTTCAATCCTTCTGGAGCAAATCAGTGCTCACAAACCCAGCTCTCCAGGAGCCCAGGCCATTCCCATTTCAGACCTCCTCCAAATACCAGTGAATTTAGCCTTGACTTGCAAACAGCCTTGGCACCCATGGCTGTGCTGAATAAAAATGCTCTTCTAAAAATAACTGGGAAGTGGGGGAAGGAGCCTGTCCCCACAGTCAGCATTTCAACACCAGTTTACCCTCCCACCACAACTAAGCATTGCTTTACCCGTGGGTACCCTGCTCCAAAATATCGTATATATATATATATATATATATATATATATATCTGTATGTACAAGAGAGAGTATTGACATCTTAGTCCTGTCTCGTTTGTCATGAACACCCTGTCTGGCCACATTCACACCCCATCACCTCTGTTTCTCTCTAGGTTTTCAGCCAGGCTGTCTCACACCATGAGGGAGCAGGGACTGCTGGAACTCCTCATCTGATGCCCCTGGACCCCAGGCATCGACTCATCTCCCTTGGGAAGAGGGACAGATGCTTGGGAAGGAGGGAAGAGCCACTCACTCAGTCTCTGTCAGGATGGGAATAAAGACCTTGTCTGTCTCCAGTCCTTTGCTCCTACAGTGGGTCTATTATTTGTGTTTTTAAAGGACATCTATTTGCTTTCAATTCAACTGCAGCCTGACCATAATAAGGATCAGTCTAATTCTGGCAGGAAGACTGTTGACCAACTATTTTAAGTGTTTATTTTCCTGCAGAAGTCTCTGAGGGAGCATCTGAGCACTTAACAGCCACGGTCACTTCTTAGAAACCCACAGGGGTCATCACTGTGCCTCCATCCTGGCAGACACCCCCATCATCCCACCTATGTTGGAAGGACTTGGGGAAGAAAAAAGGAATTCTCATCTTTAGTTTAATTGTTCAGTACCTGTCTGTATGTAAAACTGAGAATTCCATGGAGGGAATGTATGATTTGAGCAGAACACAGTACACTGAATTTTGCCTTCAGCTACTCTCTCCAAGGCCAAGATTTGCTCTGAGCTAGAGAGGGAGCACCAAGCTACCAGCACACCCCAGCTACAAGCAAGAATATATTTGTAAATACTGTAAATATTTGTAAATATTCCATATTCCCCCTCTGAATCAGCAGATCCCCACCATTGCTAAGGCATTTTAAAGGCTATTGCCAGGCCAAGACTAGAGTTTGGCACAGCATTTTTTGAGTTACAGCTTGTGCTCTCAAATATCTTCATGTCCCCGGCTGCTCTTTCCGCCTCTTGCTATTTTCCTGGGACAAAAGTCTTGAGGCTGGAGCGCTTCCCACTGGCAGAAACCCAACAGCTTCCACTGAATTAGGTAGGAGAGAGCTTAGGAAGAGCTCCTAAGATCTTCCCAGAGATGCTCAGTGCTTCCCCAGCAGCAGCCCTGAGAGGATGCTGAGGCTGGATATGTGTCCCAGCACCTTGTGAACTTTGTGCTCAGCAGCATAAGGAGTCAGACAGCCTGCCTGAACTCCCTCTGCTAAGGCAATGCAGGGACTCCCCTGACACCTCACTACTCCCTAAATACATGCTTTTAATAAAGAGCCAATTTAATTTCCCAAACACTGAGTCATCTCATGTTATTACCTGGCATATGGTACCCAGAACAGCAGCCACAGCATCTTTTCCTTGAAAGAAGGATGTTTCTGTTCCCTCCTCCATCCCCAGCTTTTACAACTCCTCTCCTCTTTTTCCTTTTAAGCAGAAATCCTCTCCTTTCCCCACTTCCCTCCTTTCTGGGCTGTGATGGGATTAAACCAGAAGCAGGGATGAAAGGAGGAGGTTGGGATGTGCAGCTCAGAGGAGCTGAGGGGAGCATGTTTGCTCTTGCACGGGGACAAGATCGGCAGCTCCACTTTGCTCTTTGGACCTGGAGCCGCGCCAGCTCCTGGAGAAAAGTCCCCGGTCACCGGAAAGCTGCCCTTTCTTCCTGCTGGGACACGTGGATCATGAACGCCATGAGCAGCGTGGCCAGGGAGCTCCAAACCCACGCGAGGGTGGGAGCGCTGCAGAGAGGCGGCAGACACGGCACCTTCTCCGGAGTCTGGCACCCACCCATCTGTGGGTTCACCTCCAGTCACCCTGCTGTCACCCTGCTGTCACCCTGCTGTCACCCTGTCCACCTCCCTCCCACACCCCCTAGGAAAACGAGCCCAGCTCCCCCTCACACTCCCACAGATACTGTGCTCTGCAGGATGGGTCATTTCCCAAAAATCTCAGGCTGGAAGTCACGGGCCCAGATCCAGCATCCATCTGAGTTCCTGATACAGAGTCCTCAGTCCTGCCACCTTCCAGCTTTCACCAAGGATTCAGACGGGTGCTTGGTGGCATTTTGTGACATTTTGTGATGTCTCTAAGCTAAGGATGCCTTGAGCATTTTGGGGCAGGAGTGGGGTGCATGGAGACGTCCCAACACGTGCAGACAGGATCTGCTGTTCTCACCCAGGAGCTGGATTGACACATGCCAGTGTGTTCACATGTTAATATTATGGGCTGGTGTTCTCCACAGAGAGCGATTTGCCTTAAATAACTATCTGAGATGAATTGTTTTCAGGTTAAAGCTGACACTGGAATTCAAAAAAATTATCATTAACGCAAGAATGGGTCCCACCTTTTTTCTGCCTCCCAACTTGCTCCCACAAGGCAGAAGCATCCCTGTGAAATCCTGGGTCTGGGGATTCTTGGTTTAGGGGCTTGAGGGCTGGAGGGGATGTGGAGAGGCTGCGTGAGGAGATGATCTGGGAAAAAGGGATGTGGGCAGAGCCGTTTTCTGCCCTGGTGAGCTCCGCAGCTCAGCCGTCACTGGAGAGATGCTATTGGCACTTGGATTAATAATTAAACCATAGTATGATCATAGATAAAAATATTAAAATCTAGGCAGCCCCCCTTTTCTTAAAATACAACAAAATAAAAGGAATCTGGAGCTAAATTAACAATGTGCTCTCTCAATTACAGCCACCCTCCGGTGAATATCAGGTTGTCATGACAACCTGCCCAGCAAACGATAAGGCCCAAAATAAAGCACAGCAGGGAGAGAGATCTTTGGAATCCGATTTTGCTGTCAAAGTAGAATTAAGGTTTCTTCAGAGGCCAGCAATTCTGGTGAATTTATGGCTGCAGTCCTTCTGTTGATGTTCATTAACGTGATCCATTTATCCGGATGAGTGTGACGGTAGAACCAGACAGGGAGCAACAAAGAATCCATGGTTAGAAATAAAGTTAACCTCTTGAATACAACCCAAACCCCAAGAAAAACGGGGATGATTGTTGGGTGAGTGTTTTTGTGAGCCTGGTGTGGTAAGTAGAAAGTGGTTTAAATTGCTTGTAGGAACTTCTCTGGTGCTTTGAGCACCAGAGCTGAAGGGATCCAGAGGGCTAGAGAGGGGTTTAAAAGGTGCTTAAATTCTGGTTTTTACATTTATTGTCTTAGAATTTTGTGTGTTTATATAGAAACACTTGATTTATCTGCCATGCACAGGGACCTTGGTAAACTTGAGAACTGGGCCTATGCAAACCTCATGAAATTCAACATGGCCAAACACAAGGTTCTTCATGAGAGTGATAGTAATCCCAGGCACAAACACAGACTGGATAACGGATTGACAGCAGCCCTGGGAGAAGGGAAAAGGTGCTGGTGGCCAAGAGGTGGACCTGACGCAGCCCTGAACCCCCCCTGCCCTGGTCTGATTCCCCCAGCGTGGGCAGCAGGGGAGGGGGGATTGTGCCCCTGTGCCCCTGTGCTCAGGTGAGACCCCACCTGCAGAGCTGCCCCAGCCCTGGGCAACACCAGCACAAGGACGTGGAGCTGCTGGAGCCGGCCCAGAGGAGGCCACGCAGCTGCTGCCAGGGCTGGAGCCCCTGTGCTCTGGAGGCAGCCTGGGAGAGCTGGGGCTGCTCCCCTGCACAAGTATTCAGGCTCCAGGGAGAGCTGAGAGCCCCTGGCAGGGCCTAAAGGGGCTCCAGGAGAGCTGCCCAGGGACTGGGGACAAGGCCTGCAGGGCCAGCACCCAGGCAATGGCTTGCCAGTGCCAGAGGGCAGGCCCAGCTGGGATATTGGCAAGGAATTGCTGGCTGGGAGGGTGGGCAGGCCCTGGCACAGGGTGCCCAGAGCAGCTGGGGCTGCCCCTGGATCCCTGGAAGTGGCCAAGGCCAGGCTGGACAGGGCTTGCAGCAGCCTGGGACACTGGAAGGTGTCCCTGCCATGGCAGGGGGTGGGACTGGATGAGCTTAAGGTCCTTCCCACCCAAAGTATTCTGTTATTCTGTGAAACACTTGCAGTCACCCTCTCTTCAGTTTAACGTCCCCTCCTTAAAGCCCAGCTGGATGCTGCTTTGTGAGGAGACGGTTGCAGCTCTTAACTGAATCTGGATGGATGCAGGTGAGGACGTGCAAATCAGTGTTTGCCCCTGGCGCTGTGTGTTGGGTGGGTTAACACCATCCCAAAGACTGCTCTGGGCCCCGGGTGGTCTCTCACCTGCCCTGGAGGGTTGGGTGGCTGCGGACCCCAGGGTTTGGGCGTCTGGGGGCTCCCTGTCAGACTCCCGGAGTGCAGGACCCGGGGGCCCCTTGTCACATCCCGGGACTTTGGGATCCGGAGGTCCCTGTGAAGCCCCCGAAAGGGTGGGATGCGGGGGATCTCTGTGAGACCCCAGGGTGCGGGACCAGCAGATCCGCATCAGATCCCCGCGGGGTGCGGGATGCGGGGGGTCCCTGTCAGATCCCGGGGTTGCGGGGTGCGGGAGGTTCCCGTCAGAGGCCCAGGGGTGCGGCCCTCGGGCAGTCCCTGTGGGATCCCCGCCGTGCGGCCCCCCGCGGCGGGCAGGCCGCAGCCCCGGACTACATCTNCGGCGGGATGCCCGCGGCGGGGTGGTCCCGGCCGGGAGCAGCGCCCACCCTGCGGGAGGTGCGGCCCCCGGGATGGATTCGGGTGTAGCCAGCGAGGGCTCGCCAGAAACCCGGTTTTATTGTCGTTTTGTGGTTGTCGTTTTCCTGCAGAGTCACTCTGGCTGCACGTGGTCTCGGGGGCCGTGGTGGGTGACAGTAGGGGACAACAGATGCTGTGGCAGCGGAGCAGCCGGCAGCCGTGGGATGTTTTTTGCCGCAGCTGCCCCCAGCAATGCTGAGTGCTGGAGGCACAAGTGTTGGGTGCCACTGGCCTCCCCGTGCCTCGAAACTCAGTCCTTGGAGTTGTTTTTCCATACAATGAGACTAAGGTTCACCTCCTGGGGAAATTCCCTGGGTCAGGCTTCTCTGGAAAGGGTGACATTCCCATCAGTGAAATCCCACAGTGGATGAAGCAGCAATGCCATTTGCTTGGAAAGGGGCAGGTGCTGTTTCTCAGAGCCCCAGAATCCGGGTGCTTCTCTCAAATGGGCCATTTCCATGTGCTCATGGGTGCCACAGTCATTCCTTCTTAAGTAATCTACGCTGCTCTTTCTCCACCGCTCAGGCAGGTATCGGATGAAGCTTGAAATCACAGAGTTGTTAATAGAAATTGAAGAGATGGGGTAAGCAGAAGATAGACTCAGCTTTCAGGTTGTTTTTTTCAAGGCAAAGATGCCAAAATAACAGGTCATTTACAAAACCTAGGAAGGCTTTTTTGATGGTGGACCATCCTCTGAGCATCCAGATTCTGGCAGGGGGTAGAGAAGGAAACCTCCCACTCTGCTTATGATTTATGTGACCCTGACAAGCAAATATTCACACTTTGTCTCCAGTGAGTGGTAAAAACCGTTTTGTCATGTCCACCAACATTATTTTTCCCTGTGTGGATCATAAAGGCTTTGCTCTGCCATCACAGAAACCAAGGTCCAAGAGTAAAACTGTGTGCTGCATTTTATCCCCTGAAGCCTTGGTAAGATTTGTAGGCTATGGTTGCCCTGCACTGAGTGTGTTATCTTTGGTACAGACAAGCAGTGGCTGTTTTGGGAAGCTCAGGCTGTGCATTTTTTTTCTTATCATTTATAAGATCTCGGGTTCCTTTTAAAGCAGAGGAGCAGCAGTTGGATGCTGCTGCAGGTGAAGGTGATGCAGGGAAGCGACTTGTCTCAGGTGAGCTGGGGGCTGAAGTCCAGCACCAAGCTGGATGGAAGACTGGAGAGACTATTTGTGGATATGAACTGAGCATCAGTTGTGCCTTTGTGATGCTGTTTGGGAGAAGACTGAGGTACCTGAGGGGCTTGTCTGGGTTTGGCACGTTTTTTTCCCATAGCTGAGTCAGCCTGATCCACACAAGGGATGGGAATGGTCTTTGGAGGCCCCCTGAAAGCCTCCATGAAAAATAGCAGCCATGAAAAATAGAATGCAAAGTATGGGAGCATACTTGATGGATGTTAGCCCTGGATCCAAACTGTTGAAGGGAGGATGGTGAGGTGCTGGGCTTTATCTCCAGAAGTCTCTTCATCAGCACTTGATCTTAGGTGAGGATAATACTCTTTTTGTTGCTCTCTAGGGTATCCTCATGTGGGGGTGAATTGCATGGTTGAGTTCACTCTGCTGTGATCTCCTGGTGAGGACAAATTTTGTGGTTGACTCTCCCCTTCTTTCTCATTTTGTGTGTCTCTCTCCTGTTTCTCCTTGCAGCCATCCTTGCTGCTGCTTGGTCTTTTCCCAGCAGGAAGAGTGTGAAATTGTGGTAGTTGTCACAGGTTGAGGTTTTGCCCACAGGTCTCTGCAAAGCAGCAAGAAAACCCTCCTGGACCTAATTTAATTTCATGTTCTTGCTGTTCAGTTGAGTCTTTGGGGTCCTGTGTGTTTGTGAGGAGTGTAGCTAAAAGTGGAGCAAGACCCTGTGTTTTCTGTGGAGGCTGGGGGCAGCTTTTTCTGGAGCTCTTTGGAACATGTTTAACATTCTTCCTTTCTGTTTTGATGTAGTAATTAAATATCATTAATGATTTCGCTGTTCTTCAGTTTGGTTGAAGTGTTCAGACATTCATGTTACATCAGTGTTAAATTTCAGAGTTTGCTGCTCTGTTTGGGGTAGCATCAGGTTGGGGAAAGGACAACAGAAGACTGGAAGCATTGAGGCTTCTGGTTTAGTAATCTTCATAAATGCCTTGGGACGTTGTTGTGAAACTCCTCAGAGAAGGGGCAGTTCTGTCACTTGAGGATAATTAGCAGATTACTGTGTCATCTGAAATGAAGGGCTACTGTAGCCAACCAATCATCTTCTGTTTGTTTGAGACCCTGGTTATTTTATTTTTTTAAATTTATATACATTTTTGTGCATATACATATATACATACATACATATATATATATATATATTCACTTACAACATAGATGCCTTGCTGGTGATCCTAAGATGAGTGTGTTTCCTGCTCAGTTCAGACTGAAACAGGAACAGCATTGGATGTTCTTAAAAGTTCTGTACATTGAGATTTCCCTGCCAAAATGAGAGGTTTTGTTCCTTTCACATCTGCCTTGGTGTGAGTTGTGTCATGAGCTGTGCCATGGTCAGTCTTGGCTTGCTGGATTTTGCATTGTCATTGTCAGTCTTCTGAATTGTGGAGGTATCTCAACGGTGGCCAGGAATAGGTGGTGGTGTCTCTATCATGAATAGATTGCAGAAGATTTTTGATAGAAAATTAGTAGATCTGAGATTTTGCTGCTTTGAGTTAGCTCTTGGAGAGTCCTCTGAGGCAGTCTATGAGCCACTGAGATTTTAGGCATCCCAGGTTGTCTGGGAGTAGTCTTGTGCTCACTCCAGAAAGGCAATGGCTCCTGTCTCCTGTCCTGCAGAGACAACCCTCAACCTCCCTGTCTCCCAGGCATGTAGCAGTTGTGGTCCAGGAGATGAAGAACTTAGTTTCTGAGGTGGTGGGAGAACCTGTGGTGACAGAACCAAACTTCTGCCTCTGCTGTCTCTGCAGGACCAAATCCTGCCACACCTGTCAGCCAAGAACCTGCTGCAGGTGTATTTCATAACGTGCAGACGCTTATCGAGGGCGTCTCCTCTGTGGCAGCTGGCTCAGCTTGATCTCCTTCCCCAGCATGGTTGCATCCATGCAGGGGATGGTGGTGGAAAACATCTGCATTTCCACCAGGATGGGAAAGGATTTTGGTGGTGGGGCTGTCCCTGGGATGGAGAGCAGGGGTGTGTGGTATCCCCCATCCCCTGGTGTCACATCATGCCTGGGCAACCTGAGGATGCACGTGGTTGCCCACAAACTTCTTATTTCTCACCAGTTTGAATGTGTGTACTGGGTTTGTGTGGCCAGGTTTTAGTAATGGTGGGGCTGCCGGGTGGTTTCTGTGAGAAGCTGCCAGGAGCTTCCCCCATGTCCAGCAGACCCAATGCCAGCCAGCTCCAGGACAGACCCCGAGGCCAAGCCCATCAGGAATGATGGTGATGGAATAACAGATTTAAGAAGAAAATAAAATGGTTGCCAGTCACCAGCAGTTGTAACTGAGGCCTGAGAACAGTGGGGTGAACACATGGGAGAGGAACAACTCTGCAGACACCAGGCTCAGGCCAGGAGGAGGGGCAGGAGCTGCTCCAGGTGCCAGAGCTGAGATTCCCCTGCAGCCCATGGAGGACACAGGGATGCAGAGATGCACCTGCAGCCCCTGGAGGAGCCCACACTGGAGCAGAGGGATGCCCAAGGGAGGCTGTGATCCCGTGGGAAGCCCATGCTGGAATAGGCTCCTGGCAGGGATATGCTGATCTGTGGAGACAGGACCCCATGCTGGAGCAGGTGTCTTGGCAGGACTTGTGACCCGGTGGAGGGACCCATGCTGGAGCAGCCTGTCTTTGAAGGACTGCGCCCCATGGAAGAGTGATACACATTGTAGCAGTTAGTGGAGAATTGTTGCCGGTGTGATGGACTCTCACTGGAGAGGTTCATCGAGAATTGTCTCCTGTGGGAGGGACTCCACACTGGAGCAGGGGGACCACTCTCACTTCTCTCCCTGAGCAGTGGCAGGAACATCTTGTTCTGAGCTGAAACTCAAGTCTCTTTTGCCCACAATGGTATTTGGTGAGGGATCTCTCACAATCCTTAACTCATGACCTTTTTGCTCTATTTTCTCTTCCCAGTCCAGCTGTGGAGGGGAGTGAGAGAGCTGCTTTGGTGATTGCCTGGATTCCAGCCAGGGTCAACCCAGTGCAATTTGCCTTAATACAAAAAAAAAACCAAAAAACAACCACCTTCTCCCTCCCTCTGGAGCAGGCTCAGCTCTCTGGGACTGGTTTGTACAGGCTGTTCCACCCTGGAGAGGCTTCACCACCACTGAAACCTGCCCTGCACCAGAGCAGAAGCAACTGGGACACACACAACTGCCACCAGCTTGCTTGCCAAGGCACCTGCAATGGGGAGCCATTAGCAGGGTTCATGATTAATGCTGAAAAATGCCTTTGGACTCATGAAATATTGGAGGAGCTGTGTTGCTTGGACCTTGGGAGAGGCTGGTATTCATAATCAAGCTGTAGCCAGTTGTGTTGGATGGCTGCTGGCTTGGGACATGAGTATTTGGATTGGCATGGGAGGGGTGGCTTGGGAGGCTGTGGCACAGGAGGGTGTCACACTGCAGCAGCCAAGGTCCCTGACATCAGCTATGCCATGCCACATGTTGGGGACCACACCCCCAAATTAGTACTGTGAGGGTCTGCTGCGAGGTCAAGCAGTGATAGGGCAAGGGGCTTTAAGCTGAAAGATGGCAGATTTGGGTTGAGTGTTAGGAGAAAATCATTCCCTGTCAGGGTGGTGAGGCCCTGGCATGGGTTGCCCAGAGAAGCTGTGGCTGCTCCTGGATCCAAGACCCAGTTGAATGGGACTTGGATAGTGGAAGGTGTCCCTGCCCATGGCAGGGGGTGTAACCCTATGGTCTTTA